AAGATAGGGAACTGGGGAATTTCTGTAGGGACTAATGCGAGAGGGTAATAATCGATAAGAAGAACGTGTCGACGTATGAGAGCAGCATTTAGATAAATCACCATGTAAAGGATGGTTGGGGTCAGCGAGGATTTTCTGGGCAAACGTTTCACATGTGGACAAGTGAAGTTCACACAGTTTTTTAGATGGCTCATCAACGGGTATAAAAGACACACGACTGATGATCGACAAACCGCGACGAAGAATTTTGAAGTCTTTCTTTAGTAGACCAGCAAAAACCACCGGGGAACAATAAAGAAGAACGGGGAAAACACATTGATAAACAAAAAGTGAAGTGACTTTTGCTTGGCATTGAACTGCCTAAGTCTTCGAAGTTGACTTAGGCAGTTCGCAATAACCGTGCGAAACTATCAGCAGAATACATTTATCGAAAGAACGAGGCTGTTTATCGGTTCACCTTCTCACGGTATGTTCTATGGAACCTTTCAGTCACTTTCTGGTGGCAGCTTAATTCATGTATAATTTATATTTTGCACAGTGAAAAGGATGCAATGAAATACACCGGGTATTCCGGGCTTACTTTGATGATTATTGCATCGATCGGGTGAGTCTTAATATTCTTACAAGTTACTTCATCTACCGCCATCAAATTATCGCTTCTCGGAGGGCTTGTGTGTGTAAAATGAAAGATCAAACAGGTATACCAAAAAGATTTGCATCCTTTTGTTGAAAACCGCTAATAAATTAGCGCTAGCATATCTGTATCTGTCCTCGTTCACCTCCGCTAGCAGCAGCATAGCACGCATAACAAAGACCGTTTGTGCCGATTGGCACATATGTCATACACAGCGTTCCTGATCTTTTTTCACTCACCCCGTTTATTGTCTAGCGTCAATCGGATGACTGACTGACATGCACACAGCTTGCTTTTCATTGACTAATCAACGCGTGGCTAAATCTAGGTTGCGAATTGGTTCGTTAGACTGACAGCCAATCAGATTCAAGGTTATGAAACTGGGTTCGGTATTGGTGGATTACGTTGTCTGACCCGGGGGCAAGTGATATATTTTCCTCGAGCAAACGCGCACGCATGCCAAATTGGTCCTTCTCACTCGGATTTTCTCTGCCCAATTAGTGTAACACTTCAGTCGGATTGAAGAGTTCTGTACGCCACAGTTCTACCTCATTGTTAACCTATATAATCCGAGTGATATTCATTCATATCCGTAATATAATGGCGTACGATGTTTCCCAAGCGACTTTGGAAACTGTGTTTCGTATTTCGATTGGCAAACTACGCGTGCTGCATAATAGTGCCCAACCTAGCGTGAACACTCAGGTACTTCGAACTAGTCAACTCAAAGATATTTCCGCATCTCAGCGAACCGTCGGTTCACCACGTACAACCCCACCGACTGCGTCGACCGCAAATCGTCTACTTCGCAGTTTGCTCATTACACGCCTTGCTCGTAAGGTGCGTTCCCAGCTCATGGTTCAACAAACAGAGACTCGAGGCACCCCGGAATGTACCACCGCTACTGATACTACTGTCACTTCTACAACGTGTGTTGATAACCAGTCGGATCCTACCTCACCCGAATCATCGACATCTGAGTGCAATATGAATTCCGATAGTCCATGCTTCCCTGATACACCGTTCACCACAGACAGCCATTCGGATATGACATCCAATCGAAAACGACTATCTCCTCCCGAGGACTGTACTGATCACATAGCCGCAAAACTACCATGTTCTCGCACAGATTTTGTCCACCCTGTGGAATCTCAAGTCCACAACTCAGATGTGGCTAAAGAGAACCGGCACGATCCGGCACCGCATTCTCCTTCCGCTCCAGAGCGAAGATCCCGCAAAACCGATCATCCTCTCCGCGACTTATCCCCAGTTGATCGTATCCCTGATCCAACAACTGTTCCACGATTGGTCATGAACTCGCGTGTGTCGCAAGTCGTCGTGACCGTAACTAGTCCGGAACAGTCAGATGTGTGTCATATACAACCGTCCAACACGGTCGCTCATCTCGCCACACTACCCTATCGACTTTTGCCGGGAGTCAGCTGATTAACTCCGCTGGTAATCAATGTTTGAATTTCGGAAAATGAAAATCACACATGATACGGGACGAAAATAAGTGGTCAAAAGTGGGTCTGTCGCTGAGCACAAAAACAAACTGTGATATGTTCTGATTGTGCCTTAACTTTACCGGATAATGCTTATTTTCACCCCATCAAACCCAGTCCCAAATTAAACCGAATCTGAGCGTATGCTGAATATTCAGCACGTGTTTATGTACATACATTGACGTTTATCAAAAGAAAATAATAAACCCATGCATATGTATATGTACATATATATATATATATACACAAAATCTATTTAGAAAATGAATACATGTATATATGAGTTTTGATACATACCCCTTACGGTCTATGTGCTTCGGGATATCTAGTTATGATATAGTCCTTAATAACGAAAAACGGTTTGAGCCAAACAACCGTCAGTTCGTAGGCTTGCAACCATTAAGGCGGTATCACTATGGACTTCGTACTGGCATTAGAACCGATCCATGACCGGGTTCGAACCTCAGATGTCGTATATTGATCGCGTCCTATGAATTTAACCACGAGGTAGTAGTTCATAATACTGACACAAACCTTTAAGTATTGCATCAGGCCACCGGGTTGCACAAAAAAGTTTAGAATGAACGTTACACAATATCTGTTAGCTGGGTAAGCTCTCCATGGTATTCGTGCGTCTTGCACTCTGCTCAAACACCAACAGTATTCCCACTTCAGTCAGAAACACACATAGAGGATCAATTATTGCCGCATGTGGTTTATTCCACTATCCCCCAAAAACAATTTATTGGGCCTGCAAACAAACACGATCGATTAACCGGTCGTTTCGTCCCATCAGATCTCTGCACTAGACAGAACAATTTGGTGGAGATGCGGATTGGTGGAGAGTACATAAATTATTGATCCCCATACATGAACTGATCGTATTCGTGAAAAGAAAACACGGGTCAATACCGAAATAGTTTGGCGTGTCTGGGGGTGTAAGTGTAGGGATGTAAACCACAGTTTAAGCAAACAGTGTTTACAAACGCAATCCTTTTTTTCAAGAAACTTCACAGTGCGCACTGGAAAACGTGAACGGATCCAAATAGGCGAGGTGTAGAATATTAAATAGCATTCGCCCCAGGATCATGGACCGTGTAATCAGATTTAACGAGAGTGTTAAACTCTAAGTGCGTGGTTGCCGGTCAGTCTGTTTTGTTCGACACCGGAAACAAAACAAGTCGGAAAATAAGCAAATCAATCAAGAAATCAGTCAATCAGTGTAACCCAGTGAGAAGTGAAGGAATAGACTGTGGGTTGTTATTGGCAAATCGTTTGAAATTGAAAGTCGATCCGTTTAATAGTTTAAACGTGGTGTCGTCATTCATCCGACGTGCAATTTGAATCACTTGAACTGACTCGTATTAGGTGTATACAGTCAGGTGCCGGTAGACGATCACGCTGGTTCTCGGCTGTGGATAAAGTTTGAAACCATCACGAGTCTTGTTGCATGAATCCTCAAAGACTATTGGAACATATTTTCATCCCTCGCAAGATTAACGAACGGTATTTTTCAAATTCAAACTTGAAGTTTGTTGTGGGAAATAATTACGCAAACGGTTGCTTTTCTATTCCCATTGGGTTTCCGCTCAACTGGATCGATAGACCGATCATATACAGATATGGAATGTCACAAATTTACATTGTGTACTGCTGCAGATGTCGACTATTTATGACTTGCTAATGCTTGATCCGGTTTGTGCTGGAAAGAATCAATTTTGTGCGCCGAAACAATGTGAGGTGGTGGAGAATTCTAAATACTGCATACTCTGACGGCATTTCAGTCGACATTTCAGGCAGTGCCTTATGAGGTAAGTTTTGGGGGACAAAGCGAACACTGAACAAAATGGATCACTAGGGTTCTGTATTGTTTGCTACACCAAAATCAAGTCTCCTCGAATTCGGCGATAC